ACTGTGATTCTTTCGAGAGTGCTGTGTCACTCTCTGTCCATGGTGCTGAAATGTATTTCGCACGTTTCTCTGCTGACTGCTGGAACACTTGACCCTCACTTCTCTCTTGTCAGAAAATGGGCTTTATTTCAGTCCTTTCAATTTCTTATGAGAAATAATCGTTTTCAGTAAATCGCTTTTTTTCAAATTGAATTGACATTTTATTTTATTATCCCCATCATGTGTTAACAGAACAGTTTAATTTGAAAAATGAGCACTCGTGAAAAATGTCCTATAATAGTGATGTGATTAACTGAAAGCTATTTTTATAGTAGGAGGTGTTATGTCAAGAAATGCACTCTAGGTGTCAGTATGAGCTCATAAACAGAAACTGTTGAAACTCCCTCATGAATGTCGACACACAACTCGGATTTTCATTGTGTCGCTCTGTTTGAGACGCGTGAAATGACGACGCTGTAGAAAGCTGTGGATATTACAGCGATTGTTTTTTGTTTCGCTCTTGCAAAGGAGACTTCAGTTGATTTTCTGTGCAATGGAGAGCAAAGGCTTTGGGATTTTCGGGTACGGTCTTTTTTTTCTTGTCCTTTTCCTCCGCACCATCCATGGAGACGTGAGCTACTCTATCCCAGAGGAGATGAAACGTGGATCTGTAATCGGGAATATCGCCAAGGATTTGGGACTTGATTTGAGCCAGTTATCTGCTCGCAAGGCACGCATAGATCCTGAGAATGACAACACACAGCTCTGTGGCATCAACCTAAACACGGGTGACTTGCTTGTTCAGGAAAGGATCGACAGAGAGGGACTTTGTGGTAAAAAGGCTTTGTGCGTCTTAAAACAAGAGCTTGTACTGGAAAACCCAATCCAGCTGCATCGTATTAGTATTCGTGTTGTCGACATTAATGATAATGCTCCACAGTTTAATGAAGACTCTCTAAAAATAGAAATTCAGGAATCGGCTGACAAGGGAGAGCGTTTTCTTGTCAGAGAAGCACACGATGGAGATATTGGAGAAAATGCTGTTCAAAGCTACACTTTGCAGCAAAATGATCAATTTAAATTACATGTAAACACTAAATCAGGTGGACGAAAGTATTGTGAATTGGTATTAGACAAAGAATTAGACAGAGAAGATAAAAAGGACATCATGCTTTTGCTGACCGCCTATGATGGCGGCTCTCCTCAGAGATCCGGCACTGTACTCATCCAGGTCACTGCGTTGGATGCGAATGATAATGTACCAGTGTTTAGTCAGCCTGTCTATAAAGCCAGTCTGCCTGAAAACTCTCCTCTTGACACTTTGGTGATCACAGTGAGCGCAAGTGATGCAGATGAAGGAATAAATAGCGAAATCTCATATGCGATTGACCATGCTTCTGATGATAATATTAATGTATTTTCATTACATCCCAAAACTGGAGAAGTGAGA